TGGAATAAGGAAGTAGGGCGGTGGGTAGTGGTTGGCGGGAGGCAAAGTGTTCCCCTCATGGCCTGGGTCACACTCGCATGGAGGAGGCTAATGAAATCGGGTAATTAGTGAGTTTGTTAATGAGCTGGGGCAGGGAAATTTAGCTTCGGCTGTTAAAGTATCAGTGGCTTTGGGGGATTGTAAAAGTTCAGGGCTTTGGGAAGGTTTTGCTTGCCTTGTGTCCCCTTGTGGCAGTTTTTTGGTGGACTGGCAGATTCACTTAAAAACAAACAAAGCCCCTACCCCTGTTGCCTAAAACCCACGCTGCCGTTTGATTTACTTACTCATTTTTTGTGGCGTGATGTTTCAAGCTGCTGCCTGTTCTGGGACCGGGTGTGAGACATGAAATAAGAGCCTGTGTGGCTCTTGCACTGAATATACTTTAGATAAGGACTCGTGTATATTTACGATCCCGCTGATAGCATGCGGAGCCCGAGGAGAAGAGCCAGCGGTTCCATTCTGTTGATTTGCTTTGAATTTCACGTTTATAGTTGTGTGGCGGGAGGCAACTATGTATTACCGCTGTCGCTCGATACTAGTTTAGCACATGCGATTAGATACGCTGCCTTCCTTTTGCTCTCGCTCTTGCAGGCATCCCACCTTGCCGGGGATCTGGCTGCCCTCGCTCTGCTGCTCCTGCCAAAGCAAGCGATGCCTGGAGAGCCGAAGCATCTCACTTTCCCCCCCCTCCAAGTTCTGAGGCTTGCGTTGTCCCTTCTCCAACTGCCCTACAATCGCATTTTTCTGGACTTTTTAAAATTTGGAGCTTGCTTTAAAATAGCGGTGATTAGAAAGAGACTGGGAAACTGTGTTCATGTATTCCTGAGCTTGCAGCGGGGGCTCAAAAAGGGGGAAAGACTGAAACAGGATTTCTGAGCTGTTGTCCTAGGACCACTTGTGGCCCAGCAGACTTTGGCAGATGGTTTGTGAAATCCTTCCCTCCCCCCAAAAGTGCACGTGATGCCGCCCCTGCAAATGAGCAGGCAATCTGTTACTTCTGCATTCTCTCACTTTATTTAAAATTCAAATCTCAGCTGGGTTTTTGTTTGACTAAAACGCGACAATCATTTCACTGTGACTTTGCAAGATGGGCTGCAGGTTTGGTTTTTTTTTTTTTCCTGTGAAAAGGTTAATTGGTCCTTGAATAAATAAATAAGTAAAAACTTGGATGCACTGCTCAGACTTTCCAGCTTCTATCTGTGAAGATTTCATCTGCTGCCCCATGTCAGGGCTAGTACGATTCTGTTTGTGGTTCCATCCCTCGCAGGAGCCCATGGTACCCAGATGCCGAGCGGGGCTGCGAGGATGCGGCTGAGCCACAGCTCCCACGCAGGACCTGGGAGCAGAGGGGCCGCGATTCCTTCGGTGCCGGGTGGGAGACGAGGAGCCCTGGTCCGCTCGGCCGCTTTGCTGTTTGAAGTGCCATTGTTCGCGCTGTCGCTCGGGCCCTCCCCTCGCATTCAGCGTGTCTCAGCACCCTTGGGGAAAAAAGCCTTGATCCTGGACCTGCTCTTCTCTCGGGGTTCAATAGGCTTCACCGGCTGAAAGGCAGGCTTTGGAAAGGGAAGGGGGGCTTTTCACAGAGCTGGGGAGAATCAAAGGGAGTCATCATAAGCGGCAGCTTAAAATATCCGACCTTTTCCTGCTTCTCTCGTCCGCTTTACGTGCCCGTGCAGAGCGTGGGTGCAGCGATGCTGCGTTTGTGGTGTCGCTTGTTCCACGCCCTCTGTCCCGTCATGTTTGCGTACCTTGTGTTTCCCTGAGGCAGTTTTGGGGCAGGTCTCATCTCTGGCCTCCCTGTGGGCTCGGAGGGCACCGTTGCAGGGGGAGGTCTGCAAACCCCCGTGCATCCTCGTGCTCTCCTGCCAGCCTGCCTGTTGCAGTGATGGTGGCACCAGCACAGAGAGAGCACGGGACGTGCAGACCCGTTCTGCAGCGGTGGGGTATTTAGGTGTCCCAAATGCCCTTGTCCAGGTCTCCCGCTTGCCTCATGGTTTCCTTCTAGTCCTGGCTGCCTGCATTGGGGGATTACCTGAGAATTTTGTGGGAGAGCAATGGGTGCTAAAGGAAAACCCAAAAGGCAAAGAAAAGAGCCTAAAACATGGTGTTCTTTTTCTGTCCTTCCTTCCTCCCTCTGTTTTTTAAGCCTGCCACATGACTTAGGGAGGGCAGTAGGGCTGATACATTCTTCTGCAAGACTTGGGTTTGGCAAGGTGGAGAGGAAACACAGCCAAGGGCGGAGAAAAAAAATGGGTAAGATGCTGCAGAAAGTGCTCCCCGGGCAGCTGCAGGAGGAGCTGCTTCGGCAGAGGCAGCCGCAGGTGCAGAAGGGACCGGTGGCAGTGTCTCTTCCCACCACGCTGTGAACCAGAAATGGCAGTGCCTGGCTCCCAGGAGGCTTCTCTTTTCCTTTTTGTTGTATGGCAGCCTGAGCAAACAAACTGTGCTGCTCTTGATAATGAAAGAGGTGACATTACTAATTTATTTGCCCACCCAAATGCAGGATTTAATAGAACAGAATTAATCTCTTTCTCTTTACACATCAGATGCTTGTAGCTTTGGGCAGCGGGTGTGCTTTTAGCCTCCGGTGTGCGGCTAACTCGGAGTTTAGCTGGCTGCCTTGGTTAGTGTGGCATGAAGATAAATGAGGTGCTGTGAGGAACAGGCGTTTTGTGGGTATGTGGTTGGTCCCAAGCCCGGATGCAGGTGGTGGGATGAGGCTCAAGGAAAGAGGGGTTGGTGTTAGCTGCGGTGCCTTCGTGGTCCCAGCAATCAGCCGAGACCCCTTCACAACCCAGCACGGACAAGTCCTGCAGAATAGCATGGGATGGTTCAAAAGGCGAGTTTCCCAGCGGCACCGGTGCCTCGGGGGAAGAGTTGTCCTTCGGTGGTCTCTCAGAGGAGGAGATGGCTGCAAATCCATCTGCAGCATGGACTGCAGCGGTGGCCGCAGTGCTGCTGGCTGAGTCTTAGGACATTGGCCGCGCGGGAGAGCCTTAATGAGGCATTTTGGATTCCTTCCCTTGCCGCTGCAGCCGGTTACCGAATCATCTGTGTGCTAATGAGCTAATTTGTGTCATTAACAGAGCCCTGTTAATCAAGACCTCCCATGGTATGACAGGGCTGTAGCCATAATGCTTGCTTTATTTTAGGCCCTGATTTTTTTATTAGTAATGACGTGTATGATGCTCATCCCTGGGCACCGACGGCACAGGCCGTGTGGATGCTGAGCTGCCTCGAGATGCAGAACTGGCACCTCAGGATTTACATTTGGAGGGGACGTGTTACCTAAAAGCCTGGCTAGAGCGGTGGAGCATAACATCCCGAGATGCCGTGGCTCTCAGCAAGGAAGGAGTGGGGAACATCTTGAGCCCCCTTCTACCAGCATGAGTTTAACCTGGCACAGGGAGCTGCGCCAGTCATACCTGCAGCTCAGGGGTTTTGACAATGACGGAGCACTTTGCCCAAAAATCGTGCCTGAAGTTTCCTGCCTTCCCTCCCACCAGGGATATTCATACAAGAGTGGGATTGCATCCTTAGGGCAGCAGTTTGCTTTCAGGAGCTTGTGTGAGCTACGGGAGAGATGGGGATGATGGGACGACTGACCAGCTCATGTGCAGGAGCCAGTCTACATCTTGGCTATTTTCCTGCACTATTTCTGGTCCCAACGTTTCCTCATGCTGCTGCGTTTGTGTTTTCCAGATCAGCCGGCTATGTGGCCATGCTCAGCAGAGGCAGTATCGATCAGCTAATTACCCTGAAGACCTTTTCGTTGACAAGAAAGTCCTGAAAGTGACTCACATCGAGGAAGAAGAAACTTTGTCGAGCAGGAGGAGGTGAGAATGCTCGGGCTGAGCGCAGTGCCTGCAGGATGGGCTGCAGGAGCGGTCGCCAAACGGGATGGCCCCGTGGAAGCAGATGGAAGAGCTCCTTATTTCCCTTACCCATAAACCTGCAGCTGGTTTTGACTCTGAACATCAGAGCTGCTCTGTGGCTGGCAGCGAGGTGTCTACATGTGTTTTCTCACCTAGTGCATCTACTTTTTTTTTTTTTTTTTTTTTTTTTGAAACCTGTAAAACTGCTTCCTGCTTTTCTTCTTTGTTTTGCTATTTTGCAATGTACCAGGCACTCAGGTTCATACACCAAATGCCTTTTCTGGGTTTCTTGGGCACTGCTACAGTGCCAGAAATACTCACAGGTGTAGTCATAGGTGGAAGTGGTTGCTCTAGCCTGAAACACTGCATGTAACACTGTGTGTAGGTAAGGGGAACTCATGTCTTTTTTTTTTTTTTTTTGGTGCAGTCTTTTACAGCAGTTCAGGAATGTTAGCAGCCTTTTACTGAATATTTTCAAAGTAAAGCAGGTGCCTCTGCTGCTGGCACTGCACCCTGTGCTTCCTTCCCTCTGTAAATAGAGGCAATAATTCAGTGGGCTCATGCTGGTGTGTCAGGGAGAAACATCTCCCCTCTGGATCTGAAAGCGCACCCAGAGACATGTGGTGCCTTTACTGCTGTCCTGAATACAAGAAAAATCCCTGTGAAGAGAAACAGGCAAGCTTGGCAATTTTTGGAACTGGAGATAGACTAAGTTGGATGGATTTCTCTTTAAAGAGTAACAGGGCCACATTCTTGATATATTTCCCATGAGATACAGCACCAGGGCTTGCATTCCTCCGTTGTCTCAACACGTCGGACGGTTACACAGCCCAGGCTCTGCTGGAGATGTCCTTTGAGGACTGTGAAGTCTAATGAAATCTGCTGTGATGGATTACGTGAGCTCATACCTGCAGATACGGAGGAGTTTCTCCCTTTCCTTCCCCTCCCTGCCCGGCGGGAAGCTCTGCTCCCCAGGAAAGTTTTCTTCCATCCGTTCTCCCCAGCGCTAAAGGGGTCTGCAGGACAGGGAGCAAGACAGTGCCTAGGATGTAAGGAGCTGGGAGCGATGTGCAGCATAAGGCTTGTCCTGCTTGGGGTTTGGTGTAACTGAAGACCCAGGTCTTGCTTCGTTTTGGCTTTCAAAATGGTGTTGGTTGGACCTCCTGCCTCACCGTAAGCCCAGTACAGGAGATGGCCCGAGGAGGTGGTTCATGCAAGAGGTGAATGTCTGAAGCACCCCTCCAATTTGTGCAGGGGGGTTGTGGGCTGAACTCCCACCCTTCGGAGGGGCTTTGACTCCGCAGGCAAACCCTGGTTTATTGGCATGGACAGTGATGGACGGGTCGGTGCTTGCGATACCCTGGCAGGTTGCGTTGTGGTGACCCAAGGGAGGACTTGGGTGGCCCTCTGCCTCCATGGGCTGCTGGCTCTGCCAGCATGGGCTGTGTCAGTCCGATCAGGGCAGAAACAGGCTCCTCGTTAGCAAAAAGGCAGAGCAGAGCAGCGCAGGCTGCCTTCGCTGGTGCATCTTCTCCTTGTTTCGCCTGCCCCCAGCTGGCAGTCAGGGGCTTGGTCTGGAGAGGGAACCCCGCGAAATCCCCAAGCAAAGAGAAGCAAAGAGGGACGGAGGGAGCTGGGCACCCCCTCTGCATCCCAGCCTGCCTAAGCTTGCTCTGTCCGACAGCCTGGCACTGCTGGGCAGCTTTCCAGATCCCGTGGGGTGCGGAGGTGCCACCAAGGTCCCACCACTGCGGGGAGCAAGGGGACGCCCCCGGGAGTGCTCCCAGCTCAAGGTGCTGATCCCTTGTCATCCCTCCCGGGGAGGAAGGAGGCCAAGAAATAACCCCTTGCCAAAAGGGGAAATGCACTGAACCGAAGCCAGAAGACCATGAGGCCAAGTCTTACTTCCTCTGGTCCCTGCTATTCATATTATCGTGCTCTTTGTGCCATGTAGCTAATTAAATCTGCGGGTGCTTCCTGGTGACAGCTGCTGAGTGCCACCGAAGGGGCCAGCCTGGGCTGGGAGGATGGGTGCATCCCAGTCCCGCAGCTCCTGTCCCCTTTCTGGTGGCTATCAGTGTCCCTGGGGTCAGCTTGTGTCCTGGCACCTCTGGCCCGCTGCCGAAGGGACCTGCTGGGGACAAAGGTCCTTCGTGCTGGGAAGGGAGGGCGCAGGGTGGGCGTGCAGCCTGGTTCGCATCCCCTCTGCCCAGTGCAGGCACTGCTGCTGAGGCTCCTCCTGCCTTCCCAGGGCAGAGCCATTTTGCTGAGTGTAACCTGCCCCTTCGAATGCAGTCTGTGACCCCACAGCCAGCCCACCGTATGCCTTGAAATCATATATTTTCAACAGTGTGGCATGAAACCCAGTGTTACCCATCTGTACAGATCTGGGCTGAGAGTGTCTGCTCTGGTCTGCCACCAAGAATGCCACCTGCCCTTGCAGGGATGTTGGATGACCGATGTCAGGCAGACGAAGGGACAAGGCTGTCCTTTCCTGAAGGGCCTCTGTTGCCTTCTGCAAAGCGGAGGGGACTGCTGGCAGCTTGAGCACTTGCTGCTCAGATGCACCCCATGTATGCACAGCCTGAGCCAGCAGCACCTTTCCTTAGGTGCTGTGAGTGTGCAGAGAGTATGTCTGGCTTTGGCGTGCTGCATGGTTGGGCTGAGGTTCTGCTGCCCCGGCATCGCTCCCATCACCAGTGGTTTTGCCCTAGGAAACATGGATTCAACCCTTGACTGAATGACATCAGGGAATGATGCAAAATGCTACTTGAGGTCAGAAATAAGACCAATGCTTCGTGGTTTGTTTGCACCCAGCTGCTTTCTTGTTGTGTTTGTGTGACTACCTTCACTGGTTAAAATGCACCAACCCCATCTTCTTTTCCTCTTTTAACTGAGCACCATTTTTTTCCTTCTTTCTTCCAGGGAACTCATTATGAAGCTGAAGTCCCACAGCAGTTTCTACAGCAGCTTGCCAGAGTACATCTGCAACCACAGCTCTGCTGTTCAGAATGACACTCTTTGCTGGAACGGACAAGAAGTCGTGGAGAGGTGAATCACATCTCCCTTCCTCTCCCTCTCCCTCTCCCCAGCACTGCTTATCTTTTGTTAGCCATGTGCAGGAGTGGTCTGTGGCCGGAACACTGCTCCTGCCCTTAAGAAACCTTTAGAGAGCCGGTGTCCAGCTCTGCTGCAGCTCAGATGGATGTGCAAAGTCTGCACAGAGAGGAGAAGTGGTTGTGTGCTGCCCTCCACTGAGTTTTCTGCATTCTGCTGCGAAAACCCTGCAGCCATGACTGGTTGCAGTCGGGGTGGGTTGGTAGTGGCGAGCCAAGAGGGGAGAGCAGCAAAAGCTCAGTGCAGCCGTGCTCCCATGGGCGGCTGCACCATGGTGGAGTAGCAATGGGGGCAATTGCCACCATGCGCTGCGTTGGGGTGGGGATGTCTCCAATGTGGCTCCATGCAGTGGTAGCAGGACAGCATCCCTTGCCCCATGCAAGGAGTGGCAAGGAAGACCGCCTTGTTGGGTTTCTCCTTGTCCGTGGCTCTGTGCTGGAGGAGGTCAGGAGCACTGAGCTCTGGTGGTGCCTCTGCTGCCGTCTGACCATCGTCCTGCCACCGAGCCCTGCCTGTCCTCTCTGGACGGAGCCATTCACACCAGGGGCCAGCTCGTGCCCTGGCTGCTTTGCCCTGCCCCACTCACTGGTGCTGAGGGTGTCCTGGTGGTAACTGTGAGGTTAATCCTGTACTTGCCCACTAATAGCATAAAGGGGAAGGAAGTGTTAATAGAAATGGAGATTTTTTTTTTTCTTGCAAAAAACACCCCTCAGGAATGTTAAAGAATGTGGAAATAGAACTTGGAAATGTTTTTTATAATTATACATAAATCTCATCTAATCACCCTACTTTGCAAAGCATCCTTTGCTGTTAAGTAGTTTGCATAAGGGAAGAAATAGAAATAAAATCAGGAAGTGGTGAAATGTTGAGATATTAATTATGACTTCTTGATCAGTAACCTCAGGTGGTAATTAGCCTGTACTCGCAATACTGACCTTAAACACTGAAGGGACCAAAATAGCATCAAACTATATTTTGAAAAAAATTGCTCAAGCGTCTAAGATCACACGCTTAATAAAATGTGCTTACTTTGCCTAAGGAGAAACGTGTCCTCTATCTGTACCTATTTCTGGAAAATCATGAGTTTCCATGCCTAAGTGAGAAGTACAATTGGAAAAAAAGATTATTTGAGTACTGTCTCACTGATTGTTAATTAGAACTTCTGAGAACAGTGCTATAAACACTGCAGCTTTGCAGGGGAGGACCTAGGGTGAGGTCTTTGCCTATGACAGTTCACTGGGGCCATGGCCAGTGGCCCTGGTCTGGGTCCTGCTGATGCCACGGCTGGGTGAAGTGGCAGCAATGGAAAGGTGCTGAGTCCAGATCCTCCTGCAAATCTAAGTTTGGAGTTATTTGCAGGCTAAACATGACTTCAGATGATAGCCTTCTCCAGCTTTCTGCTGAGAATACCAGTGGGCCGTCACAGGCAGAGATGTCACCCTGGGCCCCTGCCGCAAAGCTGCGGTGTTGGTGGCACAGTCCGGCAGGTCACGTAGGTGCCACGGCATGCGGAGTGGGCAAGGCAGGGAGGGGGTAAGGTGTGTGTGCATGGAGGGGGCACCAAGATATCAGTCCCTGGCTGCCTGGGTGTTAAGTTGAGGATTAAATCCTCTGCTGTGCTTGAGGAGAGTGTGCCTTTCCACTCCTCTCTTCCTTGCCTCCTCTGATCTATTGCACAGATGTCACCATCTCTGCTGGCTCCTGTGAGGTACCAGTGACAGCTCCCTTGCCTGCAGATACTGGAGTTTTTTGCTGCGAGCAGAGAGGGGTGCTGAGAGTTAAATCCCCCATCCCCTCGCAGGGACATCAGTGGTGTCCTGGAGGGGGAGACTCTTGCTGGCTGGGCAAGGAAAGAAGCAGTGTGGGTGGTGGCTCGTGCGGAAGAGGGGATTTGAACACCCCCTTGAAGGCAGGGTGTTCAGGAGGGAGGGCAAATGGATGCACAAAATGGAAATAGCTGTTGCCCCTTAAACGCATCAACTGCCTCCCCACCTTGTATTTTTAGCATCTGCAGCCGTGATGCTTCCCAGGGTGACCCTCTCCTCTCCATAGGCTGAGAAAGTCTCTCATACCTGGTGGTGTTTCTGCCAAAGAAACTCAGGGGGAACTCAGCTAAATAAAGCTGAACTAAGATAAAGGTCCAGGGTGCTCCTCTCCCAGGACCCATTTGCAGAACGTTTCAAATAGAAGCAAACGTGTCGTTAAAATGGTCTCTCAAGCCATTGCATTGCTTCATGTGGAGCCAAAACTGACTGCTTCATGTGCTTGGACTTCCCAGCATGGCACCTCTTTCAGAGAGTCTGGGAGGATTCCTGAAAATCAGGAGCATTTAAGGTAATGGTGCTCGAGTACCCCAAACCACCAGTTTCTTTATTTCAGTGTTTTCCCCAAGAGGGAGCCAAGCAGCTGTTCACCGCGTAGGAGCTCTTTTGCAAGCTGCTCTCAGAATGTGTATTATGTACTGGAGTGTTTCTGGCATGGCTACAGTAATTCTCCTGCTGGACTGGTGTGCACTTGTTAGTTATCAAACTCCATCTTGCCACTTTTTGCAAGAAACTCGGTGTTTTTTGAACATCTAGTATTAATTTCAGGATGCTGACCTGGTAGTTGTCCCACACGTGTAAAGGCTGCCAGAAAGAAGGGTCTGATTTTCTAGGTTTTGTGCATGTAAAATAGACTTTATATCTTAACGTTTCCCTCTTGTTTTGTTGGATGTTGGCTCTTGCAAATCAGATCTTCCTGACTGAAAATTCAGCAGGCTTGACCGGAGGAGATGCTCATGCCTTGCACTTAACCCGCTGTGTGTGGTTGCTGTAGCTGGGTACGTTTCACCTCGGGGCAGGATTGAGTTGCCTGAGCGTGGGCACCATGCACAACCGGAGAGCCCTTTGAGTTTCTGGGACATCCATAGGAAGATCTGAGACCACCCATGTCCCTGTGGAGTGGCAGCTGGGGCTCGAGGGAGACACCTTACAATTCCTATAGCAATATGAGGTGCCCACCCTAGGGGTAGATTAGAAAGCACCTGCCAAATCTGCTGAAAGCTTTGCAGCATCAGGTGAAGACGAGGGGAGAGCGATGGTTGGGTGGATGCCGTGTTTCCATGTGTTTTCATGCCTGGTGCTGTGCAGACGATGGATAAAGCTGCTTGGGCATTGCTGTGTCAGTGAGCTCAGCGTGAGCATCCATACGGGCATGTCTGGGCTTTGGTGGTGTTCCTGTAGGGTTTGTGGCTATTTACCTCTCGCATCTTTACTGCAGTACCCGAGTGTTAATATAGAGAGGAGCCCTACTGGTTTATCCATCTCCTGACCTCTCTGTCATGACAAAACTTGCTAGTTATTCTAAGCCCTTTTCCTATAACACATTAAATCAAGCTTGGAATAGCAACTTCACGGCCCCTTGCCAATGTACTCAAGTACTAGGTATACCAACAATGTGTATCCTGCTATTTGACGCAAACAGTCCCTTCTGCACCCTACGCTCCTCCTGTTGTGGTTTTTCTGAATCAGTATTTACTCTGTCCTGTTTATCCCAGTGCTTTGTTATCAGCAGGGAGTGAGCGTGTTCCTCCTCCCCGCGGACCGGACGTGCTTAACGCCTTTCCACCGGGTCTCATTTCCCAATTTGAGCCTTGAACCATCCTTCGTTTCCTCCTTGCCCTTAACTCCCTCTGCCCTGATTGAACGTGGCATGCTCATCTGGGACTCCAATGCAATGCAGATGGCTGGAGTATTTTATTGTGCTTTTCTCCTGACACAGTGAATCGATTCATTGCAGTCCTGTGCAGGCTCTGCTTATCGTGGGATTGAGGTCTGATTCTACTTGAGCTATGTTCTTGTTTCATCCGTCTCTGAGATTTCCCACCAGGGGAGCAGGGTTACGCATGCAGCGGGTGCACTCCATGCCTGGTGAAGCCCCTTGCAACCTCTCTGAAATTCAAAGCTCTGAGGACCTGCTTGACTGAGGGCTTTCTACACCTTGGCTTGTGGTAGAGATGACGTGCGATCTGCTCTGCTGATGAGTCAGCATCACTCATCCTGCTTTGTGTATTCTAGCATTTTTAGTATGATTCATCCCTCTTTTACTGAGTCTTTGTGGTCTTTTGTCCATCTCATTTACATCTCCAGGTTGGACCATCTGATGGCAAGAATTCATCCTCCTTCCTGAGATTTGATCTGTGGGTTAATAGTTAGATCGCCATCCCTTATGTAGGTTTAGGACATGGTGCCTTGACATAATGGCTTGCAAACAGCAGCAACTGTACAAGAATGATTTTTCTGGTCATGCAGAGCAGTGCCTGTGTCTTTTGCTGTACTGTTGCTGTGTGGATGAAGAACATAAACCAAAGTGGGAAGAAAAAATAAAAGGCAACACTTTACTGGTTTTCACACTTTTCAAAGTGTGCAAAAACATATAGTGCTTTTATGGGATGCCACAAAGGTTCACAGCAAAAGCTACAAGTGGCACACTCCACCACTTGCAAAGAGCTTGTTGAGGGGTTGCGGTGCTTGGGTGTTTGTGGTAGCTGTGGACCAGACCTGCTGGATCTCCCTCTGTGCATCCCTGTGCACCTCTTTGCAGCTTTTCTGGGCCCAATTAACTGACAGGCACTTCCCTGAGATAGCAGAGGACTGGACATGTAGACAGGGTGGGTGTGCAACAGCTTAAACCGGCCTAAGCGAGGGTTGCCATCGTGCCTTTCCTTGCTTCTGTTTGTCTTCATGCCCCATCCTCCCACCTGCTCTCACGCTGGTGGTGTTGGGTGGTGAGAAGATGTTGCCCAGCCTCTCTTATACTTATCTCCTTCCAAAGTAGAGAAAAACCAGACGGTGATTCTTATCACTGAAGTCCTGACTGAATAATTAGCTCATTTAAAGACCAGCTTAAGTCAAGTGGGTGTTGAGATATCAAATTCATCTCAGTTTCTATGG